TAAAGCGACGGAAAGCGCGGAGACAGTAGAGGAGGCGGCTCAACCGGAGCAACAGGGAGAGGAAGCCATGGAGGTGGCTGGGGAAGGGACCGCGTGATGGGGCCGTTGAGCCCCGTTATACAGTCTAATGTGAACCACTCGGCGGGGGCGCAGGACCTACTGCTCCGCACTTTCGCTGAGTGGGACTGTTCACTTGGGGTGGTAGCAGAGCCATATCGTGTCCCCGACCAGCCTAACTGGTTCGCGGATGCGAGGGGCTCCGACGCGACAATCGCAGTCATAGCGCGGGGTAAACCGGGTTCACCCTCTTGTACCGTAATCGATGCGGGGCGGGGGGCAGTCGCGGTTAAGTGGAGGGAAATAGCGGTGGTGGGCGTTTACGTACCGCTTCGTTGGCCTCTCGCGGAGTTCAAGGATATGCTGGATAGGGTGGGGCAAGTAACACTGTCCAACAGCCAATTGGCGTTTCTAATTTCGACCAGTCATTCATATAGGTTTTTTCGTGTTGATGACGAATCTGCAACCCGTTTTTCTCCAGCACGTACAGTTTTTGAGAAATTTGAGTTTGAAGAAAAAACACATTTTTAAAATTTGAATTAATTTTGTGAGGTAACTATAAAAGATACTAAGATTCTGTTTGCATCAAAAGATTCTATAGACTTTCCCGAATACAACGATATCTGCGTTTTATGCATTCTGAATGTTTAAACATGTTTAAATGGCCATTGAACGCCGAGAGACATGGATTTTGCATCAATTTTTACGTATATTTTTCAATTTATCTTAAAGAGTAAGGGTCTAGCGGAACTATACCACGCGATAGAGCAGATTTTCACCTTTAAAATACACCCATAGAAAGTTGCAACATCGTTTTCTTTACGATGCCAGAAAGCAAAATAGCAACGCGCGACACGACATGAGACCAGTGGTGCTCCGCATCAGAGCGGCCGTTCCGTATCGCGCCTCTATTAACGCGATGCGAGCGCTTTAATAAACTGCATCAGTTTATTACAGTTATTATTATTACTACTATTATTGTTGTTGTTTTTATTGTTAATCTTGATATTATAGAATCTTGATATTACATTATTCATTCCTTGCTATGAGTTTATTTGTTATTAAAACAATTTTTTCTAGTAAAAGTGAAACAAATATTGATATAATTTTATATGCTTATAGAATGAGCATTTTTTCTACAAACTTACCTACAATTTTTTTCTTCTGGACTGACGTTTGTGAGGTGTAGGTGATTCTATCATTAAGTTCCAACAATAATCCGCTAGCATTGCAGGACTATCTTTGCCACAATATCTGTTTTCCATAACGGAAATATCTTGATGGAATCTTTCACCGTGTTCGTCACTGACGTCACCAAGGTTACATGGGAAAAAGTCTAAGTGTGAATGTAAAAAGTGCATTTTCAATGACATGTTGCATCCTAATTTATGAAAATTATCTATTAGCTCTTTCACTATTTGTATATAATTTGTTGACCGATGTTTTCCAAGAAAGTTTTTGCAGATATTTTCAAACGCTACCCACGCTTGTTTCTCATGTGGCGCCATTATATTAAAAAAATCTTCGTTTCCAATTAAAGTTTTAATTTGCGGACCCACGAAAATGCCCTCTTTTATCTTGGCCTCTGACAGACCAGGAAATTTATTTTTAAATATTCAAAAACTTGACTATTCTTGCTTGCAGCTTTTATAAACGCTTTCATTAGACCTAATTTGATATGTAGCGGAAGTAAATATATTTTATTGGAATCAATGAGTGCTTCATATTTTATATTTTTTTCGCCTGCAATGGAAATTTGCCTTGTTGGCCACGTTTTCTGTTTATAATATTCCCTTTTTTCTCGACTATCCCACTCGCATAAAAAACAACAATATTTTGTATAACCGCCTTGTAGACCTGTTAGTATTGCTACTACTTTAAGGTCTGCTACTATGCACCAATTATATTTTCTATAATTTATTTTTTCAAGTAGTAGTTTGAAAATTTCGTATGTTTCTTTTACTTTCACGCCATATCCGACTGGAATGGAAGGATAAATATTTCCAAATATTTCCAATACAGCTTTTAAACTTTTTTTTGAGGAATCTATAAACAGTCTCCATTCCTCGGGTTGATGATGATATTTCAAATTTGCGGACAGTCCATCTATATTACAGCAATAACAAATCCTATCATCAGTCGTGAAATATTTTTTACATTCGTCTGTCCGGTTTCGGAAATGCGTGATTGTTGTGTCTTTTTCAAGCAAATTCCATTGCTGGAGTCTGGAACCTAATACTTCTGCTTTTTCTTTGGTCAGATTTAAATCTCTCACTAAGTCATTTAGCTCTTGTTGATTAATCAAGTGCACTTCACTGCCTTGAAGAAATTCTGAAGTTGTGTCACCGGATGAACTCGATGCGTTTAATATATCACACGCAGGGGGCACAAGTGGTGGATGTACTTTGTCTTCTTGAGCAGGTCTAATGGCTGATGGAACATTAGGATACGTAATCTTCTTTTTGTCCTTTTTTTGTATCCCGTAATATTGATTAAACAAAAATAACAATCCGTATTGTGGTTTGATGGCTCCCTCCATATTGACGGTATATTAAAGGGCATTGTTCTTTTCCCATTTTTCATAAATGAAGTTAGTGCTGTTGCGAATAGTAGGGAAAGCTAGAGATCAAGTCGATATCCATTGTAACCTTACCACATGGGATGAAATTTCGGATTTATTGTTAAGTTTATATCAAGATAAGAAAACACTAGATCAATTAATGACGGAGTTGAATTCTATTAAACAAATGCGTAACGAAACCATCTCACAATTTTACCAACGCTTAGAAGAACTTCAGTCCAGAATCCTAGGTAATATTCATTCCGCGGATATTGAAGACAATACATTAGCAGGACGCGTAATAATGATTAATGAAATGACCTTAAATCGGTTCGTATATCACTCACATCCGCAAATTTCACAAATGCTAAGGTATCGCGATTTCAAAAATATTAATAATGCTTTTACTGCTGCAGTAATGGAAGAGAAAGCTTTGCGAATACAGTATAATCAAGTAGAAACACGGAAATATAAAATTTGCTACAAAACAAATCACACTACTAATGAATGTTTCAATAATTGCAATACGGCTACTCCGCCTATTAACTGACCCGTTCATTATAATCAAATTGATAGAAACAGAATGCCTCAAAGTGAACCTAAACAGTGTAGGTATTGTAAACGGTTTGGATATGTAATAGAAGAATGTAGAAAATGCGAATTTAATAATTCTAGAACACATTCAAATCAAAGCTCAAATTTTAAAGCCAATTTCCAACACCAAGGTGTATCCACGAATCGCTTCCAAAATACAAATTCACGGTTCAAATATACCTCCGGATAAACATCGACAAATTCCTTTTCACCACAAAACGTTATCAATCATGATTCATCCTCAAATAACAACAACGCTGCTCCTAGAACGGCAAATTTTTGCAATGCCCAGGATCTTCCCAATCCCCCTATATCTGTAGAAGCAATGACGTCGGAATTCAACAACCTTTAACATTAGATAATTTTACTACTGCATCGTCATCGTCTCATAATCAGCCTTATGTATTATTTGAATCACGTCATTCTACAGCAGATAATGGTATTTTAAAATTCTTAATCGATACGGGAGCTAGCATATCCTTAATTAAGGCATCATCTATTCAATATTATACTGTAGATAAAAATAATTATACTATTTTAAACGGAATAGCCTCGCATGCCACGATACAAACAATTGGGGAAACAACAATAGATTTAGCTATTCGTAGTGGCAAAGTCGTTGGCAAATTTCAAGTTTTGGACGTAGTTTCAAATATTCCATTTGACGGTATCTTAGGTGATGATTTTCTGAAAGCACATCGCGCCAAAATCAATTATGAAGATTTTCTGCTATCACTGAATTCGATTTCAACTCCCATATCTCTCGGTCGGAATACTCCACAATGTTCTCAAACAACAATAAGAATTTGTGGACGATCCGAAACAATAATTCCTATAAAATTAATAAATCCATCTAATATTCAAGAAGGAATCGTATCTAGGCAGAGTTTAAATGCAAACAATTCTCTTTTAATTCCATATGCAATTGTTAAAGTTGATCATTATAATCGAGGGTTAATAACGATATTAAATACATCCATTGAATCACTTGAAATTCCAATTCCTGAAATAGTCATTGAACCTATCCCTAACCATTCATATATTTATAGCCTTGCTGAAAGTCGAGACAACAATAAAGAGTCAAATCGTTTACAAGTATTGCATCAAAATTTACGTTTAAATCATTTAAATTCAGAAGAATGCGATTCAATTAAAGAAATTTGCTCAGAATTTAATGACATAAATTCAATTAAAGAAATTTGCTCGGAATTTAACGACATATTTCATTTT